CCGTAATGTATTTTGGGGTTTAAAAGCCACTGGGACGTTATGTTTAGCCATCAGGTGTAAAGGAGGAACCCAGACCCGTGGTCATTCCGTATGTTGAGGGAGTATCAGAGAAACTGAAACGTTTATTTTCTAAACATAGCGTCCCAGTGGCTTTTAAACCCCAAAATACATTACGGCAAAGACTGGTTCATCCCAAAGATTCAGTCCCCCGGCACTAACAGAGTAATGTTGTGTATGCTGTTCAGTGTCAGGAGGGCTGTGATCAGTCTTACATCGGGGAAACTAAACAGCCACTGGCCAAAAGGATGGCCCAGCACAGAGGACCAAAATCATCAGGCCAGGATTCTGCGGTCTACACTCATCTCCAGGCCAGCGGTCACTCTTTCAGGGATGAAGATATTCACACCCTGGACAGAGAGGAACGATGGTTTGAGAGAGGAGTAAAGGAGGCCATCTTTGTGAAAAGAAATTGTCCATCATTAAACAGGGGTGGAGGCCTCCGGGTTCAACTGTCCCCCTCTTACAATGCTGTTATTGCTAGTATCACTCAACCCCCTGTGAATAGCAAACATCCATCCGTGTGCTAATGATCCATTGTTAGGCTGATGGTCCTTCTTGACCATGTGAGCAGCTGGTTTTGGTTGTCAGCAGCAAACTGGTTGATCCACTCTGAGAAGGTGCTATTTATAAGACTGAGCTGAATACAGCATCTCAGACTGAGGAAGTCTCTCGAATGAGAGACGAAACGTTTCTATATATTTTTTGCTTTGTTTTTTTTGAATGTCCAGAGGACCAGATTTAACTTTTTTGGATTTTTCTACCTGGATTATTGAGCATGCATCAGGATGTCATCATGAGATGTTTGAGACAAACGCGCACATATAAAAGGTAACATGATCGCCCGCATGTGGAGGAACTGACCCACCTGGATGAACTGGATGGTCAGAGCACTCTTGCCCACTCCTCCTCCTCCCACCACCACCAGTTTGAAGCGTTCTTCTTCTCCACTCATCTTCAGCTGGACTTCTCCGGACAAAACCTTTTCAGTGCGCGCGAGTCCCGCCGTTTATCAGGTGAGGCCAGAAAATGGTTTACACTGGGGGGGCACGCACGGCTTTTTGTTACCGCTTCAAACTTCTCCTGCTCATTTTCTGCCACAGCTGGAGTTTCTGCGCCACGCGAGGACCAAAGTCCGTGTCCGTGGACAGACGGGCCTTGTCGGAGCTGGACTGCTGCTCCTCTGTTTTTGTTCGGCCTAACGCTGATCCACAGGGCGGAACTGCTTCCTCTTTACTTCAAGAAAACTCCGAGGAAAACCAAACGTCCAGAACTTTGACCCGGTCGGTCGGTGTCCGTCAGGCCGCTGAGTCCCGCTGCTGACCGCACCTTCCACACGCGCTGCTAGCTGGAACTAAACTGTCAGTTTAAACTCAACTTTCGTGTCTCGTTGTCCTTATTTGGTCATTTAGAGGATCAGTGACGTCACTACAGCGCACAGGATGTCACATCAGCTCGAGCTCCCAACTCCTCCATGAGACAAATAAAAATAAAATCAAACTTTACGCCGCTGGGTATACTGTTTGTTTTTATTTGTTTTAGCTTTTTCTGTAAGGTTTTTGAGTTCAAACAGCTTCAGCACACGTTGCTCGTTTTAATCATTCATAGATTATTATTCAAAATATTCAACTTTATTTAAATCTATGCTACTTTTAGCTTTTTGTTACTGTTAGCTAGATAGCTTGTAGCTTGAGTGCTGGGTTTTTAACTTTAATATCTTTTCAGCATATTTCTCTAAACGTATTTATTTTCTTCTTTTTTTTCAGGTAATATGCTTGGAACATTTAGTATTTTGTTTGTAAACAAGTTTCAGGAGCTAAAGCAAATCAAACCCTGCTCTGAGCAAATTGGAGCCCTCAGGAAATGCATTCCTGTCTTCTGTTCAAACCTGCAGCAGACATGAGGAACTGGATCTTACAGAGCACCAGGAAGAGTTTTGACTGTTTTGTTAAATTCAGCAGGAGTATGTGGAGCCCATTCATGCAACTCCGATAATAAAAAAATATCACGCCTGATCAAAGAAAGTGCAAAAATGTCTTTGGCCGAGTGTTAGCAAAATAACTTGCACACCACTGGGCAGGTTTTAATGAAACTCAGTCCCAGGCTTTTGCTTGGTGTGCATCTTTCATTTCTCCTAGCTACCGTATTTTTTGCTATATGTCGCATCAGTCCAAATATGTCTTAATAAAGTGGGGGAAAAAACATAAATATGCCACTTCGCCGTATACGTCACATCTATTATGGGTCACCGTTGACACGTCGTGTTTGTTACGCGTCACCACTGACAACCCGGAAATGTGTACTGGTGTTGTGCCAAAAATCGATTGGCTGTCAAATGGCGACCGCGGGGGCGTGCATGGGAGGACTTTAACAAGATTAACACTTAAAAACAATTATTTGTTTGCTCTACATTATAGCAAAGGTGTGTCTCAGTTGAACTTTTCCTTAATAAATGCACTTTAATGGTTAAATTAGCTGCATTTCTCCTGGGCAGCACAGTGAAATGAAGCTGATTTGACATTTGCTTCAGGAGTTCCAGAGCAAAATCAAGGTGGCATTGTATGGCAAGCAAAGTGTCTCATTAATAGTCACTTTTACCTATTAATGAGTCACTTTGCCACATGTTCAAGTGCCCTCTAGTGGCTGAAAATGGTAGTGTTCAATATTTTCCATGTCAGAATGAATGAATTCAATTCAATTTAAAAATACTTTATTAATCCCAAAGGGAAATTATTTGTTGTTGTAACTTGTTATCCTCATTTCATTCAGAGATGATATAGATAATGATGGCTGTAGGCAGGAAGGGTCTCTTGTAAAGGTCCATCCCACAGTGGATCCTAAGAAACTGGCTGCAGATGCCGTTCGATCCGTCCACCCAGACTCGGCTGGCCTCTCGGTTCCCCTGGGCTGTAAGACCACCCGAATACCGGGCAGAACTCCTCCTAGAGCAATGGTCACTTCTCCCAGCAGTCTGCCGAGCTCCTCATCATGTAGGTGCTGAGGGACGATCCTGTCCTTCTGCAGTCATGAGCCGTGTTTCCTGCTTGTTCCAGGATCTCAGTGGTCAGGCACCCGAGCACAGCTGGCAGGTAGATGAGAATGCATCCATAGAACATCCTTTTCAACTCATTTGAGATTTGGGGCTCTAGTTGAGATATTATTTGAGCCTTTGAGATGTTAATCAGCTGCTGTTGGTTGTAGAAAACTGCCTTGTTGCCATGGTTACACATCATAACAAATGACAAATGTCCAAAACTAAAAAAGTTTCAGTAAAAATCCTTCCAGCTGCACAGCATCCGATACCAAAGGAAACAATCATTCAAAAAATGTGATTTACATCCAGAAAAAGAGGAATTAAAGTATCCAAAAGCAAAATCTCAGAATGAAAGTAACAGAGCTGCTCCAACATGCAGCCACCTTGAGTGGCGCAATTCTAGAACTCAATTGTCAGATTCAAATTCAAAGACTCAAATTGTCAGATCTCAGCCAAAAGTTGGTTTATAAATATTGGAAGAAAAAAATTGGTATCTTGGTTGACTCGCATTTCTCTTTTAAGTTTCACGTGGAAAACCTAGTAAAGAAACGTTGGTTACGTACTGTAACCCCAGATTCTATGAGTATAAGCGTAGCCCTTTAAGGCCTTCGCTTTAGTGGGTTTATCCTGTTATGCGCAGCATAAGCACTGAAAAAATTTAGTCCACGCCCACCTGCTGTGTGGGCCCCACCCGGTCCGTATAAATTACGTTAAGAGTGGGAAATCGGCTCCCAAAATAACTTTTTTCTTCAGCCATTTAGGAGCCATTGAGGCCCGACGCTTAAAGGGCTACGCCTATACTCATAGAATCTGGGGTTACAGTACGTAACCAACGTTCTATTTCGTATAGGCTTCGCCGTTTAAGGCCTTCGCTTTAGTGAGTAAAGGGCGAAGCAGATGTGGTCCTCGCCTCACTGGGTCCATTCGAACACCATATGAAGCAGAAGCTTGCCCAAAAAAGTCTAATCACTCAGCTCCCGTGTGCATAATTACTTTTACTTTTTTACGCATTGCGTAATTATGTGGCCATGCACAGACGCATGTTGTGTAACTATGCATTCTGAATGCATGAACGCCCCGGAAACATCAACGGGGAGGGAAAAACGCTCAAAAGAGCCATGAACCAACCGGTTTACGGCTGAACCGTATGAACAGATTAATAATAACAAGAGAGTTGATTATTAATCAGATGAACTGATTGGTAACAATAGTCGTGAACTGATTAATGACAATAGAATCAAATAACAGTCACAGCTTGTGATTGATAACATCTCACACTGTAATGCATGCAGACGGATGTGAGTAAAACGGAGTTCCATGAAACAACAATATTCATTCTGTAAACACTAAGGGCAGAATGTGTCATGGAACAGGCCATCACATCACCTAAATAAAGGCGAGTAATGAGCAGGGTGTTGACCACGCGGCCACAGTGCAAAATATCCTGCATTGACATACCATTATGTAAAGCAGTCGAAAAAGCGATACCCCTGATAGAGTGTGCTCTGAGGTTGACAGGAGACTCTAATTCTGATGCTCTGTAGGCTTCAGAAATAGTCTCGCACAGCCAGTGTGACAAGCGCTGGGTGGATAACGGGCGACCTGCAGATGCATCTCTATAATGCACAAACAAATGTTGACGCATTGCAGCTGTGCACGCTATGTAACACGTCAACGCCCGCACAGGACAGAGAAGATAAAAAGACGTTACTTCTTCTGATCTGTGTGAAGGGGGGGGGGGGGACGACCCCTCCAACAATATCGCTCTTGATTAAAAGAGTTTGTGATGTATTAGGCATAAAAGCTGGGTTGATCTAAAATCAGCTGATCTGCCGTCAGCCTAATTTCTGAGACATGACGGAGCGACAGAGAGGGCAGATAAAGACACTCACTCTCTTAGCGGATGTTAAAGCCAGCAGCAGTGCTGTTTAAAGAGACAAGAATTTAAGTGGAACCTGATCCAAGACTCAAATGAAGCTTTGATCATGACCTGTAGGACCAGTATTAAATCCCACTGGAAACAAGTGGGTGTGAGACAGACCTGCGTCTCTGTACACCTTTTAGAAAACGTTTCATCAGCGGATGATAAAACCTGTTCTGTCTCAGAAACCTTCATGTCAGGAAGAGATGGCTGTAGCGTACGTTTTAAACGTGCTGGATGCAAATTTCTGTCCATCAGCTGCTGCAGAAAGAACAGCATGCCACCTAAAGAACATGAGGAGGTCTCTACATCCTTCTCTGTACATCAGCACTGAAAAGCTGTCCGCTTTGAGGTGTACATCGCTGTGGTAGATGCACCACGAGAAACCTGAATTGTGCGCATTACATCCTGTGGGCAACTCATCCTCTGTAAGTGAATTCGTTCAACGGCCAGACCACAGGTGCTGGCCTATTTCTGGGTAACTCCTGGTCGCTCCTCCTGCCTGGAAGGAGAGCGTCCTCCCTCTACGGCAGTTCCCACGGGCACCCCGACAGCAGGCGTTTCAGGACTGGGAACCATGGTGCACCCACGCGCTCGGGGCCACCAGGAGAGCTGTCAATCCCTCCTCCTGAGCTCGGTTCAAGAACCGTAAGATCAGAGGAGGTGGAGAAAAAAAACGCGTACAGAAGCATTTTGGGCCATGGACTGTGGACAAACGCATCCACCCCCCAGCAGTGGTTCGTCTCATGGGCTCAGAGAAGTGCATAATTGACACTGAACGTTTCCCGTGTCACAACAGGCCCACAGCCGCTATATCAATCTGAGACAAAATGCTTCGTCAGAGGATGATTAAAGGTTGTTCTGTCTACGACAACTTTGAGACAAAAGAAAAACACGGTTGCAGCATACAATAGTCGTGCTGGACACCAGATTTCTGTCCTTCGGTTGCTGCAGAAAGACAGCATGTCGTCCAGTGGACATGAAGTGGCCTCTACGCCTTTCTGTACAGCAGCGTTGGAAAACTGACCACTTGATGTGAACAGCGCTGTGGTGGATGCAGCACGTGACTCCTGAATCGTACGCACTACATCTTGCGAGAGATCCATCCTCTCAAAGATCTGCACAGCGGCCAAACCACAGGTGCTGGCCTATTCTGATTAATTCCTGATCGTTCCTCCCGCCTGGAGGGAAGCGTCCCCCCTCCACGGCAGGTTCCACGAGCGCCCTGATAAAAAATGTCGTAGGCCTGGGAACCATGATGCGTTCACGCACTTGGGGCAGAGGAGCTGCCAGTCCCTCCTCCTGAGTTCGGTTCAGAAAACCGTGATACCAGAGGGAGAGAAGAAGGTGAAAGGCATTACGACCACAGGCTGTGAGCAGGCACATCCACCCAGCGGTGGATCGTCCCGTGGCTCCACGATAATTATAATTGACATTGAGCATTCTCTCGTGTTGCTACACGTCCGCAGACGCTGGCAGGATTCTACCGTGTCTGAGTCCTAGTTCTGGGTGGAATACATGAGATGTACTCACTCCAATGGAGAACAGATTGGATGTGTCCCACACAGCATCTGTCTCACAATGTGGCACATGGATTGAAAAAAATGCATACATTTCCTGCTAGTATGTATGCAACAGTCACTTGCTGTCTGAGAATCACAAACTCTGATGATTCTGCAGCTCAAGGTCAGTGTTGAGTCACATTCAAAGATCCCGTGCGACACTCCAAAACATTTAAAAGGCTGCTGTGTGGGGAGCCACAGCGGCTCCACAGCTTATTAAATGTGTGTGACGTAGATCTGCTGACAGAAAACAGCTGATATCACTCAACCGATTCACGTGAGTTGCACTGCTGCCCCCTGTCTGTATAAGCTGCTCAATGGCAGGTGTCCAGATAATGCAGAATTAAAGCGGCTCGAGCGCATAATGGAGTGTTGTTTCTCACAGCTCAGAAAATTGACAATCTAGAATAAATCTCATCTTTCCAGTTCATTGGAACCAGGAAGTGATGAGAGAGACCTTGTGTTTCCTCTCCATTTGAGATTCTAGAAATTACATTTCAAAAAATAATTTCCTGAGCTTCTACTAGAGGGGACGAGATCTGTTCATAAATGACAGAAAAAAACGTCACAGAGTTCCTCCACACCGGGGTTTGAGCTGAACTGCAGCGTGAATCCCGGATGAAAATGATTCGCTCATCCGTCTGGAGGCGCGCGTTCATTTCCACCCGTTATAAGCTATAAAGCGGGCACGCATTTATGCTGTGAAAACTCACATACATGCTGATGTGAACTGGAGCGCGCTGAATGAGAGAGAATAAACCCACGCGCGTCCACGAGGATGCAAGACGTTGTGTTGCTGCGGGAAAACAGCTCATGTGTTGTGTTCACGTTGTGTGCAGCTGCTCGGTGTAACGCTCGGAAGCGGGTGCACATATGAGCCGACGCGCCCTGAAGGGTCGTGTGTGTGCGTCCTCATGCGACGCTTTAAGCCAGGATTGCCGCGGGGGCGCGCGTTGGCACTGGTGCGGTAAGGAGGCACAGCGCGCCAACGGTGGAGCGGGGTTACCACTGGCTCGGTCTGCAGAAAAACGTTCATTGTTTGCTGCGGGTCACGTGAGCTTTTGAGTGATTCCACGAGCTGCAATATTAATTCAGACAAAACCCCTTCTTCGAGGATGTATGAGCTGAGCCGCTGTGAAGGCTTGTGGGGCTGCTGACGCCGCGGGAGCGCGCGTTGGCACTGGAGCGGTCAGGAAGCAGCGCGCGGCATCGGTGAAGCGAGGCTACCCCTGGCTCGGTCTGCAGAAAAAAACGTTCATTCTTGGCTGCAAGTCATGTGAACTTCAGAATGATTCCATGCGCTGCAGTATTAATTCAGAAAACCTTCTTCGAGGATAAAGGAGCAGAGCCGCTGTGAGGCTTGTGAAACTGCTAACGCCGCAGGAGCGCGCGTTGACACCGCTGCAATGACAAAACGTGTGTCGCTTCTGCCGGGAGCGAGATACGTTGCTGAGCTCGTACCGTGGTCTCACGTGAACGTTGACGTGAACGGCGGGCGCTGAGAGCTGCGTGCGCGCTTTCATGCCGCGGGAGCGCGCATCGGCACCGCTGACAGTGAATGAAAACAACCTTAAAAAGGCTCATTCGTGATGAGTGTGTGTGATGGAGCCGCTTGTCAGATAAACCATGCTGACAGCCTGGCTAAGAGACACTTCATCATAAAATGATGTTATTTTGCAGTGTCATCAACACACCTCCAGCGACCGGACACCTAGTTACCTTCCGTTGAGCTCTGTTTGTTGTCCTGGAGGGCCCCCTGTTGGCGAAGTCCGGGAAAAAAAATGAACTTCCGGCTGCCGGGGACGTCTGATGGGAGGGGCTGGCGTAGCAGAGCTGGGGAGGCGTTGAGCAGCCGTGGAGCAGCTGTGGAGCATCTTGAAATGATCTCTAGCTGATGAAAAGAGGATCACCAACGGACTCCTGCATCTCTCCTGAGAGGAAGGTGGAGTGACGGGCCAGGAGAACTTCTGGGACCCCGTTCTCCGGCTGCGATGCGGGGCGGCAGACAGCAAAAAAGGTGCACCGGTTGAGGATGACGTCAGCTGACCTGTAGACTGAGCGTACTGCAGGGGCTGGCAGCGTCGTTAGCAAGCAGCTGCTACGAGAGCGGAGTGAACTGAAGGACAGAGGGCCACCGTCTCTTCTCGCCTTTGAACGTGTATGCCAACAGCGTAACGTGTTGTTCGCTGCGGCCGTGTGGAACACATGCTGGTGAGCTCAGTTGGAGAGCGGTGTCACCGTCTCGGTTATGCTAACCGGAGGCACGGGACGCTGGTCCATCTCGAACATCTTACTCCAATGAAGCCTCCATCAGGCTCGGCTCCAGAGGGCACGGAGGGACTTTCCGCTCAGTGAACCCCTGCTCTGGAGATGGGTGCGGACTGTGGAGACCGGCTCCCCCAATCTACCAGGAAAGAACCCGTCTGTGGCCTCGCCCGTAGGACGTCCTGTTGGGAGCACGAGGCCATATGGATCAAGACGGTGAGCCGGAATGGAGCCCAGTAAACAACCTTCCCGCCGGATCATCCGAACTGGCGGGAAAGGCGTAGGACGTAAAAAGGGTCCTTTCATGTCAGCCTCCTCCTGGGTTACGCCGGGCAACCCCTGAGGGCGCCGTCGGCCGGGAGCGGTGTGATCGCCGATGCGAAACGAGGTGGGATGGGGTGAGCATTCACTCAGCCCCCTCCACCGACACTACGCTCCCCAGGAGGGAATGAGCAGCGGGGGCTGCAGCTGAGCACACCTGTCCCGGAGGAACCATCCGATTCGCTCCGAGGGTCGCGATAAGAGGAAAAATACAAGATGGCGTTGTCCAGCGTGTAGTGACCTGTCACTGGGATGTATTCCTCGGTGCTTACCTTGAAATAAGACTGCTCGTCATCTTCTCCTCGGGGAGGAGAACTCACCGGACGACCGGAGGTCGACTGCCAGGCCAAGCATCCTTAACAAAGGTTGGTCATCTACACAATTTTCCTTCTTTGTTCTTCTGACAGTGCTATTTTAGCTCGCTGAAGAAAAAATGGGAGCCGATTTCCCGCTCTTAACGTAATTTATACGGACCGGGTGGGGCCCACACAGCAGGTGGGCGTGGACTAAATTTTTTCAGTGCTTATGCTGCGCATAACGGGATAAACCCACTAAAGCGAAGGCCTTAAAGGGCGAAGCTTATACGAAATAGAACTGAAAGTTAAACTGTGTTTCTTTTTCAGAAACATATCTTGTCTAATTCTGAAGGAAACACCTTGTAACTGTGACTGTCCTTCCCTCCACTGATTATGGTGCCATTATTTACTAATCCCTGCTGCAAAATGTTCCCCGGGGTCACATGCATCCCCGGCATTGCTCCCCCCCACCCCCACCCAGGGGGGCGCTCCCCACTATTTGAGAAGGACTGATTTACATGAACGCTTCTACAAGCACCCTGCATATCATAGTGCATTAAGATTCATAACTGGCTGCAACTACAATAACCACCACTGTACCCTGTATTCACTGGTTAACTGGTCATCATTAACTTCACGCAGACTCTCCCACTGGTACATTTTCATCTTTAAATCACTTCTCGGTCTGCTGCCTTCATACATCTCCTACATGTCACTATGTGAATGCAGTTTCAGTGTGTGCTCCCAGGACATTATTACATGCAGTGTTCCCTCAGTGAGGACCAAACTAGGCAAAAGGGCCTTCTCCTACGCTGCTCCTGTTTCCTGGAATATCTTGCAAAAAGATCTGAAGCTCTCGACCTTGACCTAAGTGGCTTCAAACATCTGTTAAGTTCCTGGCACAAACCAACGCAGACATGTTCCTGTTTTTAGTTTTCTACATTTGTCTTATAATCTAATGTTTTTTGCTACTTTGTTTTTGCCATCTTGTTTTAATTTGTAAAAACAAAACAATCTGTATGCCTCTTTTATAATTGTCTATTGTTGTTGTTGTTGTCCAGTTATCATCATTCTTTGTTGAAATCAGGTTTCTCTTGTGTCCTCTTGGGATTAACCTGTCTCAATAAAAGTTGAATTAAAAATATGTTGCTTTGCTGTATAAGTCGTAGGCATGCTAATTTCTGCAAAAAGGTGCGATTTATATGCCAGAAAATACGAAGTAGGATTAGTAGAACCTCTTAAACATGAAAACAAGCATGTTTTGAGCAATTAGTAGTTAAAAATATAAATATACAGTATACTTCTTTCTGCTGCTCCCTTCTTTGGGGGTCGCCACAGCAAACTCGCATGAAGACTTGGTGATTATTTTTACACAGGATGTCCTTCCTGACATGACCAGACCACTGCGCTACCACAGCCCTCTGTGTGGAGCAGAGCGCTGCCATGTAGAGCACCCAGGGGAGCAGATGGTGGGGGTTGAGGGTCCAGAGGGGCAAAGGAGGGTTGATAATTAAAATGTAGTCCTGAATAAGAACTAGTCTGAAATCAATGTCATGCAGGGCATCAGGAGGTTATATGCAGAAATATTTATTGATATAATTTCAGGAGAGAACAGTTTTTCTTAATAAATGATATAAATAAATAAAAACAACTCAAGCAGAACTATGACTATCAGGTGATTCTCGAACTCCTGTATTTGTCACATGACCAAAAAATGATAAGTCTGAAATTCTGTTTCTGTTTGTCACGTTTGTCTCTAATAAACAGGATGTGTCAGTTTCTCTCATGTAGAATATATTCTCTTCAACAATAAATACATGAAGACGATGAAGCCTGTGCTGTATCAAGCTTGTGGTGGATGCGGACAAAAATGCACAGAAACAAGTTCCCTCCACCCTCAGTACTTGTACGGCAGCACCGGCTGTCCCACCTTCACCGGGTGGACAAACGCACCGCCCAGAAGCACCCACTCCCCCCAGTCCAACAGTTTGTTCAGCGTGATGCTGAGAGGAGACAGCAGGCCCTGCTCCTTGTGGGTCTCCTCTGCTGGCCTGCAGGAGACGCTGCCACTCCGTGTTTTGGACTCCAGTTGTCCTCTCGTCTCCCAGACAGCTGTCGGCACTGTGCCATCTCCTAGCTGCTGGCTTTTTGAGGAGGGGGAACATGTTCCCAAGGGTGTCAAAGAAAGAGTGAGGCCTTTTCGTTTCTCTAACAGCGAAGCAGAGCTTGCTGGGAGTTGTAGTTGTGTGGGTTTTGCTGCAGGTTTGGTGGGCTCACAGGAGTCGGAGGCCGGTTTTTGGATGTGCTGCTGGTTTGGACAAACGCTCCACTGGTCCTGCTGCTTGTTCCTGTTCTCATGTAAAAGGGAGCCTCCCTGCTGTGTTGTGTCCTCATGATGGGGTGTGTCTGATGGAAGCTGATCGACCTGCTGCTGGGTGAAGACGCCCCCACCATAGGCCTTCTGACTCAAAGTCCCCTCAAAGTGCTGCAGCTGACCCAGGAAGTTGAAATTTGGGGAAATGGAGGGTCGGCGCTCTTTCACAAACCTTATGAGTAAACAGAGAAGACGTGGGTCAGAGCTACGACAGGACTGCCGTCAACATCTACTCAAGAAAATTAGCATTTTCTGTGTAAACAGTGTGAAAACTATCAAACTTCAGCAGTCATTCAGCACCTACAGAACAAATTGTTCCATTAATACACAGAACAGAAAACTACATCAACAAAACAATGGCTAAAAATTTAATTAGCAAGACAGTAGCTAAATATGTAGATAAATAAGTCTCAAAGGTCGTCACACAAATGTACAATATTTGTATGTGTACAATAAGAGCCATGAGTTTTACAAATGTACACATTTCAAATATCACAAATAGGAATATTTTGTGCATACAAACTGTCACTTTGTCACTGTGTACTTGTGCACAAATCACCTGCTGAGGCCAGCTCAGCAGCCTGTGAATGTGACTTTGAGAGCAGATTCACAAAGTTAATAATGCTGCATTCAAGGTTAGTAAAAAGCTGGGTCATCTGAGTCTTACCAAATTTACTGAGTTACAATTTATGTTGCACGCATGCATGACTACTTTTGAGACTGAGTTAGCTTCATAGATAAAAGCTAAGGAGTGCATGATAAATCGGCCTCGATTTCCTTAAATTTGGGAGATCGGCTGATTCTTACATGAGAAACTGATTTTACAGATTTTTTTAGTTTTAACAACAACAACTGTCTGAACTTCATTTATATTTCAGAGTACTACTCCATGGCCACTTAAAACATGTCTGTATTGTTTCTAGGATATTGTTCAAGGGTATGTTTTTCAATAAAAGAATATTAAAAATTGAAGGTGCATTGTGACCTTATAACACCTGAAAGTGTCGCTTATAAAACAAAATCTGAATCGGCAGGTCAGACTTTTTAGCGATCAATGATCGGCCAGAAAACTGCAGTCGGTGCACCCCTAAAAAGCCCCAAAAACAGAGCAGGTATGCTGAAACAAATTTTGACGAAAACAAATTTTTGAAAGATTTGAAGAGATTTGTGATTTTATTAAGGTAAATAATATTTTAAAAGTTAAAAATAATAATCGCAACAGGACACCATTCTTGATTAAGTGCAATGATTTGATATGAAAATCATTTAAAAAAATGAATGCATATGTGAATGTAGTTTGACCAAATGCAGAAAAAATTTAATACTGTAGAAAACTACATATTATTATTATTGTTATTATTATTACGTAAAGGCTGAATCAGTATTTAGCTATTTTTAGCTTTTTAGCATTTTAGCTTTTATCTGGTGTTCTGCTTCTTTAATCTTCAACAAATTAGTTTTAACTTCTTTAGCTAAATTAAACAGCATTCAGCGGTAAGCTTTTTTTTTTTTTTTTTTTTTTACAGAAAGTACAATTTCTCTAGTTTTTGTAACTTCTGCAGCATTCCAGCTGTGTTTTGACATCTGTACCTGAGCTGTCCTTAGACAGAAAACATCTGAGGCGACAGCGCGTATAATTATTTGATTATATCATGCTAGACTTATTATTATTACAGGCTGTAATCATGAGAGTGTCACCGCCATAGATATCATATATGACTAGATACAGCATTGACCACTATCGTCTATTGGAGCTGACGAGATTTAGGGCCGCCATCTTGAAATGGTCGACCGCTCCACTCAGTGTAACCTGTTTCTCAGGAGCAATTGAAGTATTTGCGCGTTTAATCAGTCATAGCTAAATACTAAACTCATTCTCACGATTTTTTCCTCTGTAAATCTCAGGAGTACAGCCATTAAAGCTGAACACATGGTTCAGTGTATTTAAATATTCTTGGTGGGGTTAACATTAACACTAATAAAATATTCTTATGACACGTTTGCAAAACTCACAGTCA